ATATATGTGTGTGTGTGTGTTTTTACACTTCTAAAAAGATGATGTATATACTTAAAGAAAACGTAAAAGTAAGTATTTTTACTTCTAAAATACATATGAATATTTTTTTAAAATATATTTATACTTCTAAAAAAACATATATATATATATATATATATATATATATATATATAGTTTTAAGAGCATATTAATTTGTTTTTTTGTTTTGTTTTTACAATTAAACAGTATAATCAAGCAAAAAAATCATATATATAAATAAATAACATTTAAAAAGAACTTAAATACAATATTTAATTAAACATTTTTTCCGTATATAAATACGATTTTTCTGCATAAATACATATAATATGAAAAAAATACTTAACGTAAAAGCGTAAAAAAATTATAAACTTAAAGGTAAAAAAACTATAAACTTTAGGGTTTTTTGCGAAGTTAATAAAATTATAACCCGAAAAACCTATTATAATCGGTAAAAATAATAATAAAAATTAAATAAATAAATAAATCTGAACATTTTTTAGAAAATATGAGGACAAAAACGGACATAAGCTTCAACCTTTGGTAAAACCGATATAAACCTAAACCTGAAAATTAAGGGTTTTATATCATTAACCCAACTTTGATCAACAAAACTAAAATACAAGTTAAACTACAAAAAGATAATCAAAATAAAATAGTTTTTATATATTTGGCCTTTAATTGAAGAAGCTATAGACCACATTCACAAATTCATGTATATAATTATTATACGTATTTACAAACTCGCATCCATAAATATCAATAAAGATTAGCCAACAATAACAATATCGAATTTGAATGATTTTAGTCTAAATCAATAACTTAAATAGTTACCGTTTAATCCTTTATGAATAATCCAGATTAGACCTTTTCAATTCAGTGGAAAAGCTTTAAGCAAAGCCCAGATGAAGAACACCTCTTCCCTGTAATCACATCAGAAAAAGTATCCACAAGCTGTCCTGCAAGTGACGATGGATCCTCCATTAAAGTATCCACAAACACTTTGACGATTCTAACCTCCTGTTTACTCGCTCTTAAACTATACCACGTAAGAAATTTCTTCCTAAATCCCGTATCTATATGCCCTTCACATTCCAACCATCTTATCACCTTCACATAATACCCAAAATCCCGATCATCTCCTTCTTCCCCATTTATCTTCTTCGAAGAACTACCATCTTGCTGCTGTTTTTCCTCCTCAGATTCATCGTCAAGATTATTAACCTTCTCTGATGCTTTTAGGGTTTCTTTCTTCGAGGGCGTAATGGGTAATTTAGCGGAAGTAGTAGGGACAAAAGGGTCAAAATCTTTACAGTTCTTGATGATGTTTATATCAGTATCAATCACGACCTCTTTCTCTTTCTGCTTTTCGCTCTTTTTATAAGCAACAATGGTGTTGTTTTCATCTTCAACAGATGAAGGATTCGAAAGGCTGCTGGAATTCGTCGGTGGACTTTGATTTGTGTGAGTTTTTTCATCTTCGGCTGTTTGAAATTCGATTTCAGAGGTGCCCAATTCGCGTGTGCTTTCGAAATGAACGACTTTTAGAATGTATTGAGTGGATGGAGTTAGATTTGAGAGAAGGAATTTGGTGGTAGTTTGTGTAAATAATGTGCATGTGGGTTTTAAAGGGTATTCTGAATCTAGGGTTTTTCGGTGCCACATTATGTATCGATGTGTTTTGAAATTATTGATGAAAGATTGATCTTGGGAACCTAAAATTATGGAAACTGATGTTGGGGAGATGTTTTCGAATCTTATAATTGGTGTCAAGATGCTGGAATCTGTATAATAATCATCATAAGTTTTTAGATTTTGTGTGTTAGGTTAAAATAGCAATGTACATTCATTGGTTTGTTTATTATAGCATCTTACTTTTGTTTCTTGTTCTTAAAGCATTGTAAATGGATATTTAAAAGTTCAACATGTAATAAGAAAGAAATTAAAATAGAATGCTATAATAAATAAATTGATAACTCTTTTACTATTTATTGCATTTAACCCAAACTAAAAAGATTTAAAGAAAAGGCATACCATTAAATATCACGCCGGATAAAACCGAATCTACAGATTCGACTGCAAAAGCACATAACTTTTGAATCTCTTGTCCCAAGGAAAGTCTGTTGACTATTCCTCTGGCCCGTTTGACTGGCAAACCAGTCAACGGGCCCACATCTGCTTCTAGCTTCTCCATAATTTCATTTACAATTTCATTAAGTTTTTTGTAGCGGTGGGTCCCGGCCAAGAGTTTTTGAGTTAAGGAAACACGGTAACACAAGATATCAACCCGCCTAGTGTCCCTTGCTATCATCATTTGTTTTCTCCAACATCTATATGTACACAAAAAAGTACAAATATAACCCAAATCATGATACAAACTAAAAATCTATCCAATTATAGCAATATACTTTCACCTTATTTATAATTTCGTAACTACATTCAAAAATTTGTTCTAAAACAATTATAATTTCCAAAAAAGGCACAAGAAAACAAGGAAAGAAACTTACCCAAGTAAATCATTCACTTTACCACAAGAAACACAAGAGAAATTCCCATCAAGTCCTCGATTCACCCCATCTTTTGGAATCCCAGATTTCTCATGTCTCAAAGCACATTCAAGATGACACGACATCCCACAAGAACTCCCGAGAAACGGAGGATCCGAGCTACAAATCAACCACAAACTCGGATCCTTATTATCATCAAATTCACGACAAATACAACAAGAACACCTCTTACAAAACCCCCCATTTTGACCTAACTTAGCCCTACAAGCAGAATTCTTGCAAAACTCCACATTATCATCAACCAAATCCAAATCAACAACATCAATTAAAGAATTATGATTGTTGGTTGAAATCAAACAATTCGGGTGTTCCGATTTCCTATGTCTTTTTGTAGCCCTTTGATGACTTCCACCATTTTCAGATGATTCAAGATTCATTGTGGTTTCATGTTCTTCATCTATTGATCTCTTTTCAGATACTATTTTTAGAAGGTGTTCTATGATTTTCAACTTTGTGAGACCTGTGTACTTTCGTTCTTTTCCCATTTCTGCACATAGGATTTGGAGAATTTCTTGACGGCTCCAAGATTGTAGGAGCTCGGGTGCTCCGTGGGACCATTCGGATACTTCATATACAATTTCTCTTTTTTCTTCCATGCTTAATTTATTGCACTTTGATGGATCAAGAACAAACCCTGAAAAGAAATCAAAGAATCAAGATTCAACAACATTGTAAAGTTGACTAAAAATGAAGGGTTTTTATTAAAAAAAGACTGGCATGTGAAATTATTTTGGGTGCTTTATGTCATAGTCTGAGGAAACCACAATGATAAACTTTTTTTAGGTAAGAATTACATTAAAAATGATGATATATCAATTATTATGTCAATGCCAGTTGTGATATTCATTGCATGTATATAATATATTAATACGTATTAATACATATAATAAAGAAGGTTGCATCAAAACATAAAGAAAAATGGTTGACTTAAAACTGATAAAGACAGCCTAACCATGCTTTGTACTATCGGAAAGAAACAGTGTTGTGTATAATCGTAATTTTGTTTTAAAAAATTATTTTTTATTTTTGTTTTTTGACTTTGAATACCCATAAAAAATGGAAAACGAAGTGGGGTGTTTGGAAAATTTACTTTTTATTACTTTTAGAGTTCCACTTGTATAAAATGTTGTCAAAGAGAACACTAGATCGATTAATCAAAACTCTTGACACGATTATGAATGTTTGATACAATGAGGAAAATTTGTAAAAAACTACAAAGTTATATAGAGCCATATAACTGGTCAATAAGTCAACACAAATCATGTTCTACAAACCGTCAATCTAACATTAAAATAAATGAATGGATGTGGGTTTTGATAATAGAATCCAATAGTTGATTAAAGATAGGAATATGCTAGTAATTTTATATTCATCACAGAATCAATTTATTACAGCTTCCCCAAATCTGATGATTTTGACTTTAAAATCGTTCAGAAAATCATAATCCTAATCACTTCTATAAAAAACACTCATCCAATCACCTTGTAGATTTAATTAACCTTATCACCCAAGATCAAGAATACAATCATAACCACTCATCCCTGAGAATTAAACACGAATCTAAAATATACATATATTATATTGTATATAAACACACTCACACACACACATATATTCATATCTATCGATCATTAATTGATGAAAATTTTGTAGAAAAGAAAGAGTTGCGACACCTTGTTACCTCGACTTTCATTGATAAAATTGAATCTGTTGATTGAAAGTAAATTATTCCGTACAACAATGGAAGAAAGTGAGAAGGACAGAGAGATCAGAGAGGGGTCAAATTAATCAGAAGAGGACCAAAAATTTCTGTGAAATATTAGCTGGCAGATGATGTGATTCACGAGGACATAGAAAACAAACATGCAGTATTACTAAATCAAACGTAGATCCGATTAAAACGGTGGAACTTCTTCACCAAATCGTCTACAAAAAACCAATTTTTTCCGTGGGTGGATGATACACATAACAAGTAATTGTTCAAAAACAATCAAACCTCAGAAAAATAAGTTAAAGAATCGAAAACCCCACAAAGGAAAAGATGAAATAAAGTTCGAAAAACCGAATGATTGATTGAGATATTGATTGATTACCTTCAAAAGAGCAAGAATCCATGATGGGGGTAGTGATGTTCATCAAAAACAGGAACCCATCACCACATTACTAAAACAAATCGAGCAGTTTTTATGAGGTTTGCAGCAGTAACAGAATACGTACGCAGATAAAGCTGGGGAAAGAGAGATTAGGAGAGAGAAATATGAAGAAGAAAGAGAGGGCGTAAATGGAAATTGCGCTTGCAAGTAGGAAGGAATCCACGAAATGGGTCCTCAAGCCTCAAGGTATGCTATTTAGTATATAGAATAGGACCCGATGCGAGTGTTTGTTGGGTTGGGGGTTAAAAGCGGCTGCATGTCATCGCCTACATAATGCGTTGTTTTAATCGAGTCCATTTATTCGTTGAATTTTACTTTATTTACAACCAAAATTTAAGCCACAAGTGGGAAAAACGAAGAATAAATAGACTATGATAAATTTTTAAGACCATAAGATTTAATGGGAATGGGAACTTTTAAGTTGGGGTTTTCTTAAAAACTATTTTAAGCCAAATTAAAAATTACAAAATGTTAAAAGGACAAATACATCAAAAATATCCAATTATAATTTTCAAAATTTAACCTTATGCTTCATCCAAATGAAACCCCGCAAGTATTTAAATCAAACCCCGCAAGTATTATAAGAGTTTGAATAATATTTTATTCGTTTACAACCACCGATATTCATTAACCCATTTATTAAAAAGGTTTGGTATGAACATGGTTACGTTTATAACTCATGACTCATCCCATATAAATACTAGAAATGTAATCTTTGATTTTCCCGATTGTTGCTTTTTAATAGATCCAAAGCCCAAAGGTTAAATCTTTAAAGGAACGACCAACTACCAAGGAGGTAGGCCCCACCCATGCGGTGGACAAACCGGACCATCGTCCAGTGTTAATGTCTCTAACTGGCCCAAAATTCAAAGAGTATATGATATTTGCAATCCAGAGATAAAATAACTTGTCTAAAAAATGATAGAAGAAATATTTTACTTTAAATTGGTTGTTTTTGTAATGTTGTGTGGTCGTATTTGTATTTTTTTAATAGTAATAGTGCATTTTATAACGGTGTGTTTATTTTTTATTATATTTAAGACTTTGAGGGGTCTATTTTTTCTTTTCGCCATGGGTCTATTATATCTTTAGACCGGCCCTGCAAGGAGGCAAGGACTCAAGGAGTCATTCTTGTTCCGGTTATCCAAACAAACAGACTTATTTGCCATATATTAGGCTATACGGCTTACCTTCACTTGAGCCCCAACACCACCAAGCCCCACCTTCACTTTAGAGCCATATTGTGCTCGACCACCCCCTAGAACCCCCAAGCTTTACACACACAT